ACCACACAATTCTACTATTTAGGTGCAAGCACATGCGGACGCTAGTGCTTACAGGTTGACGTTGCATCTATCTAGACGTGGAGCTTTCATCCTGACTTGGTAGGCCCTCATGCTTTGGAGGATGTCTACCATTATTATCTAGCTTAGATGTAGGATATATCTAGTGGAACATGTTCCACTAGTGTTTCTTTCCACTTTTGTTTAGACTTTGTATTGGTGCCGTTTTGGCAAAAATACGTTTAATAAAATTATGAACTTGTTCTTTCATTTGATTATCTCTATATTAGATGGTTGATTTGTGAACGCCAATGATGTTATGTTTAAAATGACTAGCATGAAATAAGAAAAAAAAAGTTTAAATTTTCCGCTAAAATTAACCTATATGAAGTAAGAATAACGTATGTAGGATTGTCTGCGACCTCTGAGAGGTCAACAATGCCGGTCTCGTCTGGGGTGTAGATTCCGATCGTGACATTTAACTAGAACTCAGAATCCTATTTCTAAAGGTAAAAGGGGATATGAACGCGAGTTTTCTTATATAAGAAAACTAACGTATAAATTTTAGGTAGAAGAAAAATAACGTGGATTTTGTTATCCTCTTTGAGTTGAAAGAAATCTCTATAATTAGGAATTCTTCTTACCCTATTCATACTCGCCCACCCAAGTATCAAGAGAGTTTGTATGTGACTTGGGATCACTGTAGAATACCATATTTCTCTTGTAGATTCACTTGAAGATCTGTCTATCTTGGAGATTCTTTTGAAGGTATCTGCTCACGCTTCAAGAGGTAATTCTTGATTAAATTTCAGTATGTTTTTGTGTTTCAACATGATATATGTTTTAGCATAAACGATATTTGTTATCTATTATTCATGTAAGTAGTAAATATCCTAATATACTTTCGTCGTACATTTATGTTTAGCAACAACATGATTGGACAATTAATTATTCTAAATAAGAATAAAGGGGTAATAGGACCCCTACAAAGTTCAATTGTCTTTTTAAAAATTAGATCTTACTTTGGTAGGGTAATTATGTATTCTTTGTATATTCTCTTGGGCTAAAAAACATGAAGGGATTAAAACACGAGCTACAATTTTGTATGATCAAAATTTTTGGTCATATATTGTTTATTGTATGAAATGTGTTTACTCCTTTCGTTAGTGTTTTGAGGGATGTAGATTCAGAGGAAAAATTATGTACGGACATTTGTATGATTTGATGAGTAAGGCTAAGGAAAAGATATCTACGAACTGTGGATATAATTACAAAAATTACGGTCCCATTTGGAAAAGAATTGATGAAATATGGACTCACCAACTCAATCATCCACTTCATGTTGCTGGATATTATTTGAGTCCTCAATTACGATTTGAGGAAAGTTTATCTATTAATTTTAAAGTGAAAAAAATTTGTACATATTTGTGGAAAGAACATTTGATTATTGTTGACATCCAATTTTGACCGACCTTTAACCCTTTTTAGGATTACATTCGATTAAATACTTATTTTAAAATTTACTTAATGTTTTGAAGTTTTAGTCGATTTTTCTCAAAATTATATATTTTAGTATCGTTTACTTTATAAAATTATTTTTAAATATTATTATATTTTAAAATTATTAATGAATTTCAAATATTTTAAAATATAAATGATTTTCAATTATACAAAAATATTTTAATATACGTAGTATTTTAATAAAATTATTTAAATTCTAGCCTATTCTATTATAATTTCTTTCAATTTTAGCCACTCCAATTAAATTATATTCCGATCATAGCCACTCATTCATTTCAATTCTAGCCAATTTTAATTACAATTTTAGTCATTCCGTATCTAACTCATCTAATTTCAAGACTTCATCTTTTGATCTCATCCGTCTATTTAATTAATTAAATTCTAGATCAAATCCTAACCCTTCATCTCTATCTAATCTAACGGTTGAGATCATCTTTTTTTCAATCTCTCTTTTAACACCAAAAGACCCAAAACCTAAAACTCCCTTCTCCCTCCCTCTCCTTGGCCGGCATCCGCCTCCCCTCTCTCTCCATTCTTTTCCGACAGCCGCCTCCCCTCTCCCTCTCTCTCTCCAGCGACCCCTCTTCTTTTTCCCCCGGCCAGCCAGAAGCTGTTGGCCGCCTCTTTCTCCCTATTTCTCTCCCCTTTCTTTCCTTCTCTCCAATCGTCTCCCTCTTCCCCTCTCCCTCTACATCGTTCCTCTTCCTCCCCCGTTTCCCTTCTCTGTTTTCCCTCCCTTTTTATTCACCTGCAGGGACAGCACAATGGGAACCACCAGTAGCAACAGTGACGAGCCGCCAGCAGTAGCAGCCACTCCGGCCAGCAGCTGGCCCATCAGCCAGGCGAGGCATGGCAAGCAGCGACCAGGCGGCACCGCTTTCCTCTTCCCTTCTCCCTCTCGCCCCATCTCCTTTTCTCCTCCTTTCTTTTTCCGAGCAGTAGCAGCAAGAACCAGCGAGGTGAGGCAGCCGGCAGAGCAGCAAGCGAAAACTCGCTACTCTCTTTCTCCTCAAAGCAACTACTCCGACCAGCAGCTATGGCGGAACTCCGCAGCTCAAGAAAACAGAAGCCGCCGGCGAAGGCAGCGACCAACAGCCTAGTGCCACCTCGGCTCCTTGCCTCTCCTCTCCTCTCTTCTCTGGCAGCTGGACAGCACGATGAGTAGCAGCTACCGGCTGTTCCGAGAGCAGCAACTCTCTCCCCTCCTTTCATTCACACATTGACATCTTTGAAAAGAACTCACATTCTCCAACTCATTCTTACTTTCTTACAACAAATGCTACATTATTCTTAAACTTTCTCATTCTCTCATTGCCATACACATAATAATTCTCTCAACCCATCACTCATTCTTATAATACAAGTTGATAATCTTTTTCGCATAATTGGTTAGTCCTCTTTATTATTTTTAATTTGATTTTTTTTTGCATAATTATAATATTTGTGTGTTGAGAAACGAAACAACAAGGAAGAATCCAACTTAGTTTCATTATCCTTTTACGTTTGATAATATAACTATGGTTATTCTTTATCTTTTTTTGTTTGTTATTTATATATATATGAGAGCAATTTGCTACTATAAGTCTACTATATCACAATTATTGCCTCATCGTATATGTGTTACATTACCTCTTCTTCCAGGTTTTGAACTTAGAGTTCAAGATATTGAAGACTTGCCTAGAAGAAATTATGGACGAAGCCTCGTTCATTCTATTGTTATATATATGTTTATTCGCTCTTTATTTTTACTTGTAATATTTGTACAACTCTTTAACTCTATATATAAAATAAAATATTTTGGGGGGGATCACCTAAGGGAAGGGGATTTACATGCTACTTGTTTATTGTAATTTTTAAAGTGAGAAATCATGCCTATAGGTTTATTTTATTTTAAATCTTTAACCACCTAGAATTCTTGTTTGTAGATGTGGTAATCTAACCAATTTTCAACATGCTCGACGCTTTGTTTGTTAATAAGTTTTAAAATAACTAGATTCCATTAATTTTTGAATATTAAAATCAAATCCTAATAATTTAGTAGGTTGTTAGATGTTTAAAAATGTTATAACTTTTCAGCATTGTCTTGTCACGTAGAAACCATGCCCAAGGATTAAAATGTTTGTATCATTTAGATTTACAAAAACATGCATATATGTGTTACTCCGTTTTTTTTTTGAACACTTAGAAATCATGTCTGTAGGCTTGTAAATAAACTTTTAACATATCCATGGTAAAAATAAAATTTGTTGTGCATATTTGTGCCCCTCTAAAATTAGCTAATATTATTAATTAATAATCTTATTTGTCCTTTTGAAAATTTCCGCACTCATGATGCAATATGTTTTTTTTAAAAAAATAATAATGATATTAAATTAGAATCATTTCATGCATTTAACAAATTACTTGGCTTTTAAATATATTTCATAGTAAAATCATTGCATTTAATAAATTTACTACCTTAATGTTCTACTAGTTTTTTCTTACTTACAAAATTTTGCAACATAATTTTCTTAAAAGTCATTATTCAATCTTCCTTTAAAACTTTGGATCGATTATGACATTGTTTATTTTTGAAAATAAATTATAACCACTATCTCCTAACCTATCGTTAGTGGGAAAGTAAAAGGAACTACGAGGTCTAGTTACAATTTTTAAATTAAACCGACGCGTCCCCGGAAGTACCACCTACCCATAAATTTCAAAAGGAATTATGTGTATTTATATGTAAATATTTATGTGTCTATATGCAAACTAAATCTTTTAAATCATTTTCAAAAATATAAACTATTGTTATTTCTTTAAGACCTACCTCAAATAAAAATTGTATCTATGGTGGAGGAGCGCGATCAACAATATCGTGGCATCACCCCGATAAAGAAACAAACATTTTTTAAAATAAAAATTCCCATTCAAAACTTGCTCAATTTTTTTAAACTTTACTTTCGCACGTATTAATTGCTTAATATTTGCCAATTTTGTTTTTTTACATAGTGTCGTATGTTGAAATAAATAAAAATGAGCTTAATTTTTTATTTATTTCTATCACCTAGCCTTGCATGATTAAATTAACTAAAAATAAAAATTTAATTGCTTAATATTATGTCATCACTTAACAAGCATATTAAACTAATAAATGAAGTGACCTTAATTTCTACTTGTAACCCCCACATAGATTGCATGAGACACGGCCGGGATCCACATTTATGGACCTCGAGGGATTCCTAACACCTTCCCCTCGAGGTAATTTGAACTCTTACCCCTGATCTCTGGCTCGTTGACCTTAGCTAGACTTAGTTAGGTTAGATAGGTGCCCTAACGCGCCTTAATTCGTTAGGTGGTGACTCCAAACTCAAAATCCCAAAAGAGTTATTAGGTCGTGCACAAAATCCATTGGGATTCACAATTATGAATAAAGATTTAAAGGGGATATTCAATTAGATTCATATGACCAGTTAAAATGAGAATCGGGATTTCAAATAGATATGAATTCAATAAAATTGAGATCTCAGACTGATTGGTGGATGAACATTGTAGGTCAGACTCCAAAGTTGACTAAATTTGCAATTTGTGTCTTTCGTCTCACGTGCAACTTCTCGGGTTGTGAAAAAAATTGGAGTACCTTAAAGTCGGTAAGAGTTAATTCTTTTATCGAACTTTTATTATTATCTTTTTTTTTGTGATGACTTATTATAATGTTTTTTCACAATCTGCTAGATCCATACCAAAAAGATAAATATAGTTGAGCGTCATAGGCTAAATTCTCTTGTTTATGTAAGATACAAGACCAGATTAAGAGAAAGGAACATCAAAAGAGAATTGCAAAAAATTGATCCAATTCTTGTTGATGAAGTTGATTTTGATGACGAATGGATTACTGAGAAAGAAGATTCCCTGCTTCCTGAATACCCTTGTTGGCTTGAAGAAGATAATTTATTTGCTGTTGATATTGTTAGACTTGTGTCTCTTACATCATATGAGAATGATCTTTTACATGAATCTAACATTGGTAGTTTAAGAGATACAAGTGAAGCAGATCCCTCTGCAAAATGTCAAAAGACATCAGGTAAGTTACAATGTTTAATTGTTTTTAAATTTTGTTATATGTTGTTATTTATTATGTCAACTTCTAAAAATATATTATATTTTTCTTCTCACTTGGTATACAACAAGAAACATCAGTGCGCGTTGAGGCTGATGACACTGATAAAGGATTAGTAGATTTGGAGATAGACGACGACGATCTCATATTTGATAGTGATGAATAGATGTGGTACTTTTGATACTTTTTGGAAAAACATTCCTAATCATATACAATTGAAATTTTAATTACTCTAAAGTGAATATGTAAATAACAACTTTTTTGAAACTAAGATACATTTTTAGGATATTTAGGTGTTTGAGCTTTATTTTTTTGTTTATGAGCTAAATTTTTATTTGTTGTCTTGTTTATTAATATGAATATATTATTGCAGGCAAGAGACATCAAGAAAATCAAGTTATATGGCTTCAAACAAAAGTTGATAATGCAATCCTACTTATGTTTATGGAGTCTCTTGACAATGGAAATAAAATTCAAAATTTTTATGTTATATTGTTGATAGTATTATTGTGTTTTTTTGCAAGACCTGTACCATTTAGCTTTTAATGATGTACTTGTTATTTCATGATCATATATTTTTTGCTGCACTAAATTATCTTCTGTAGTTTGATAGCAAATGTATTTTTTTTCTCGCTCATGTTTTGAAGTATTTTAAAGGCATTGTTTAGTTGGTTTAAAGTTTTCTTTCAAATAAGTTGCTTCTCATTGTTTAATTGTTAGACATAATTTCGTAGTTACAACATTGTTATTATGGTGTATCTCATGTATTATGTCATATTTTTCTCTATAACTCGAGACTTACGTCTCGCCCCATAACAGATAAAACGAATCGCCCAACGCCTTCACCTTTCAAAACATTTTGAGTTGGTGATCCAGCAATCTATAGTCCCCTTAGAAGCTTTGAGAACTAAGTAGAATCATTCTTATGAGGAAGTATGAGTTGAGAGGTTAGATCGGCAAGTCAAGAAGGCAAGAAATAAAGGAGTTACTTCCATGAAAATTTTGTGGAGAAATCAGTTAGTTGAGGGTGCTACTTAGACCATCTCCAACCCAGCACCATTTTTTACCCCAAATCCTATATTTGGTGTAAAATTTGTTGTTTTGAGTTCCAACCCACACTAATTTTGGTGTATGAATAGTGTTTAGGTGGAACACTATTCATCATACCAAATAACTTTTTAAATGTTATAATGTTATTTCACTATTCCAACTATTAATTAAACATTATATAAATTTTATGTTGTAATTAAATATCTTGTATATTTAATTAATTTTTATGAAATATTTTTATAACATTAATTTTAGATATAAAATTTAGTTTTTTTTATAAATTAATTTTTCAATATATGACTTTTAAAAAAAATTATAATTATTCTACTATAAATTATATAAACTACAATTAACCTTCATAAAAATTAAAAATACAAACATATAAATTTTTAAATCAATAATACAATATACTTAAAAATAACAGAAAAATAAATATTTAACAAAGTATTAATTGATATACATCAAAATTAAAATATAAAATTAATTTTAAGAATTACAAAAAACATAATAATTTTTAAAAAATTACAACAATAACTTAATAATCTGATAGATTCTTTTCGAATTCATCAATACTATAAAAAAAACAAAGGACGTAATACATTAGTAGAACATTTATCGGAGCACCGTAGTGATCTTAAAAGTTGAAATATTTATGTAGGATGTCAATAATATTTTCAATTATGTAATATTTATTTAATTGTATTTCATTAATGATTTCACTTTTACTTGTATTATTCATTATTATGTACAATGTATGATATTTTCTAGCAATTTATACTATTTAAAAAATTATGATACAAAATAATTTTATATCAAACGATTATAAAAAAGAAAATAATATGAGTTATATATGATGATTTTTTTAGAAAGAATTTTTTAAATGAAATAAAAAAATATAAATGAATAAGAACTAGTATTATAATAATGAAGAGAGAAAAAAAGATATTTTTTTATGTAAAATTTGGTGTAGTAGGTTGGAGTTGATTACACCAAATTCGGTGTTTGGGTTAGAGATGATCTTAGAGACCGAGGCTGCTATGATCTTTTATTATCCTAAACTCATTCCTTCTACCCTTTTTTAGCTTGAGGTATTGAGTTCCTCATGGTTCACTCTGTTGGTGTCATGTGTGTCTTAAATTTCTTTGATATTCCTATAATTTCCTCATTTATGTATGTTGGTGAAAAAGCTCAAGTTTGAGAAAATGAGTCAAGTTGATCAATTTCTACATGTTTTATGTGCCATAAGAATGAGTTGCATATAGACTTTATGATATGATGTTTTAAACATGTAATAGATTGGAGTTGATGTTTCCTACTCAGATATGTGCATTTATGAAATTACATGCATTTTGGGTTGTAAGGCTTAAGTTCCTACAATCATTATGACGTCTTGAATCTTATTCGAGAATGAACAATCCCAAGGGGAAGATAATGTAATATCTCAGATTCAAAAAGGATAAAATGATTGTTTTCAGAAATTTGATGTCAGTTCCGACAGCGCCATTCACGGCCCGTGAAATGAACCACTGACTCTAGGTCAGTTCTGTGGTTATCCAGGAGAGTCTTCACAAATTGTCAAGTTCTAGTACTTTTCAACGATTCACCAGAACGGTCGGTCATCTAATGTTTGAGTCGTATATATGTCTAGTAGGTTAATCTAAAACTTATCAAGATTTCAGAGTCAAAATTCGAGAATGACGACCACGACCTACAACTCGTCATCTGAACCACAATCCATAGGAAGGGGCCCTTCGTTAGTGGTACAGTAATTGAGTTTTTAAAGTAAACGACAATAAAAAATAACGATTGTAACAACCCTTAAAATATACTAAGGTAGATAGAGCCTCACATGAGCATAAAATGGTTAATAAGTTGTTTTATAGCTTACATAATTGATTTGAAGTCATGTGGAGGTCAAACGTCCAAGACGTTCGAAAGTTAGTCTTTAGATGTGCTAGCGAGTCCTTGTATATTTGTCTTGTTTTTTTTTTTGGAGTTGAGAAGGATTATATTTGACCCTAGTACCTTAATAGACATTTTAAGGGTCAAAACGTCCAGGTACGACTCCCCGAGAAAAACTCGAAGGGCTCCCAAGCAGGACCCGAACCTTGGACAAGAGGCTGCCCAAGGCAGCGTGCAGGAGCAAGAATGAGACCTTTCCCTCGCGAAGCAATACTAGCACACACCTCACTACCTCAAAAATTGTTTGGGGAATAATTGGGAGGCTGCCCCGCAACGCATCCCACTCCCAGATCCGGTTGAATCGGCTTTTAAGTCAATTTTGACATGTCTAAAAGTCTCAATTCATGTGGGGTGTTTTGGTAAATTAGGGGACGTTTTATCAACTGATTTAGGACCTTTTTAAACCCATTCCCAATACAAAACCTCAACACCCATTAAGAAATCAAATCCCCAAAGTTCTCATCTCTTCCAAAACGCCTCAAAACCTCCATTGAAGACCAAGTTCAACAACAAGCTATGGAGTTTGATTCTTGGAGCTTTCTTCTCAGATTTTAATGGGTTTTTAATGTTTAAGGTATGGTTATCCTTCATTCATAGATAACTATTCATCTATGGAGTCCTTTCAAAGGTTTTCTAAACATGAATTCTAAGTCAAAAATCTTATCTTTCAGTCTAGCCATGGCTTCACTCTCAAATTGATTTCAAATTCATTCTAATGATGAATAAATGTTTATCTACTTAGTTTATGATGAATTTATATCCAATTTTATGAATAACCCACGATCCTCCTAATTTCTAAATTACGTTATGTTATGGGTCTTGTGATCTTGACTAGATTGTGATTCAATTGTTATTAGATTGTAGTATATTGATTAATCCTAGTCTTATCCATATCAATTGATTATGATTTTCTGGTAATTGATCAAGATGATCGTTAGCTTGGAGATTTGGTAAGTTGACATATTTCCTCTAATTAGCTTAGAATGTATATTGAATTGCGTTGATTGGTATGGTCCACTTATGGTGGTAGTGTTTATATTCTTGTACATATTTATGTATTATGATCATGGACTTGAAGGCATTATATTCAATATGAATTGACATGATGATTTATATGTTAGGAAGTTGAAGGATTTAGCCTTGATTCTAATATCATGTCTAAGTGAATCGATGTTATGTGTATAGTCTTCTACACTATTTTTTTAATCTAGGTGTGGAGATGATTTTATATGTATGATGTTCATGCTAGGGTTAGGTGTGGTCAATATGGCTAACGATGAAAAACATCCTTATAGCATGACCCCTACCCATATGAACTCTATATGAATGTGTGAACAAAGTATGCTAAGAATATTCTTTTCTAATATTGAATATGTTAGTGTCTCCTATGATTTAATGTGAGTGTGTATAGTCTATAGTCCTTAATACTTTATATGTGTGTATGACTTGAGACTTGAGGAGAAGTAGTACATATGTTGTAATCTTTAGAGAGTTGCTTCCTTAATGTTAGGTGTTATACCATTATATGATCATGTTGACCAATGTACACTTACACACTTAATGCATGTCTATGAGTAGGACAGATTTACTATGACTAAGAAAAGGATAGTTCTACTATGCATCATTACCTATTTCTATGCATGTAAAGTATATTATAAATGAAGTTATGAACATGTGTGCCTAAAGGTGTTTATGTGAAGGTTGATCTCACATATATGTACACACACATACATCTATGTATGAATAGAGTATGATAATAGTAGCCAAATGAATAAGTGAGTCTCTTGAAATGTATTACTCAATTATACTCTAATCTAGACTATGGTATGAATATGATATAATTATGTGAAAGGACATTCTCACATAATGTAGGTTCTATGATGAATGTAGAATTCTAATCCTAGATACCTTTGAGCTACATGATGTATGGGGAAGTAAGTCACTAAGGCATAACCTAAATGCTTAAATATATTAAAAAGGGAGTTAGAACCTAGCACCAAGTGAACATGATAAATGAGACTGGAAGTTTCACGTTAGTAAGTTCGGCTTCCCACAAAGAGAACCTTCACGTTAGCAAGTCCGGGTTCCCAACATAGATGTTATTTCATGAGATGGAAACCTCCACGTTAGAAAGTCAATGTTTCTAGAAGCAAT